TTGGGCTTTTCAATTGATTTTTGAGCGGGATTCAGATTTTTAGGTACCTCATTCAGCTGGATGGTTATAAATTTGTGGATTCCAAAATTTATGGAAAATTCTGGAGGCTTTTTGTGAAACATTAATAGCAAATTCAGGCAACTTGTTGTGTTCCCTAGAATAACAACTTTCGAGGGGGAATTTTGGAAATATTAGTGCGTCAAGTCAAGCCTTATCCTTTCCAAGGGGGCGTGGTCAAAATTCTTTGTAGTCAGGGCGAGTTTCAACAGCAAGTATACGTCATGTATACCAATGTCCTCCGATTTTGCTGCCTTTTCCCCTAGGTTGACCGAGTTTTTACTGGGAATTTTGCACTCTCGACTATATGCAAAACCTATTCTGGGCTTCCATTTGCACTTTCGCTCTACATTTACGGTTTTTCCGAAATAATTGAATCTACATTCCTTACAGTGAATGCTGTCTCGGTATAATAGGTTTTCCCAATCCAATTGAGTCTTTTCCTTATAGCTTCTGGGTACAGTGAGTTAATTCTAAGAAAGTAGAGGGTTTTCCTTGGGTGCGATACATATTGCAATCAAGGGCTTTAAGTGTTCGAGACATTTGTTGCCGTCATAAGCGATGCCATTTATAGCGAATTACTTTTTATTATACTGCAATGGTATCACGACATAGACATGAAAAACACTGTGCAGAAATACTACAATTCAGGAAATAAATGACAGCGAAAAGTTGGACAAATTCATCACTGGAGCTCTACGATCGCTCAAAACGGATGGAGTTTTGATTATACGTCAGGATCTTTGTGAGTTTTGATTTCAAGGATAGGATTCTCGGAAGTAATGGCCATGTCAATTACCACGATTTTGTTTTGCAGCTTTTAGACAATTTTTTAAGCAAAGGTAAAGGAGATGAAAAAGATGGCTATGTTGACGGACTATTTCGATGTGTTCCGATTGGAAGAGGGGAATGGAAATGTTGGCTTCCAATTCTATGCAGTAAACGAAGTGCTCGATTCAGTTTATGTGAGTGGTGTTCGCATGTTCTGCGAAAAAATACCTTGTCTCTTTGAATCTTCGCTTGTCTGAAGTTTTGTCTGAAGTTTTAAAGTCATCTCAGTTTTTTTCCATGATAAGTCGTACAGAGAGCGACTTCAGGTACATCAAAACTGGCTGGATTTCATCTGGACCCTCATCAAGAAGCCTTTCCCTAAGGATGTCAATGGCGTTGTTTCCTTTAGGTAAAATCAAATCTCTTCGTTCCAAGTGGTCGTTCAGACATCAATGCTCCCCAAAGATAATAGAATATTTTATTCAGAGACTTCTTGGATAGGACCCAGTACACCGATACCGGAATCTTTGCCTATGAATGGATCTTCGGCAACAATTTCATCTCCCCCGGTCGGTCCAAACTTACTTGTTCTTGTTGAAGTTAAAGTACTGTAAAGAATGGGCGGGGTTTCTTGGTACTGATGATGATGACTGATTCACAAAATCCTCTTCAAGTGGAACGTCAACAAATGACGGTTGACCAGATTTCTAGGTGCTCCCACCCATATACTATGTAACGTCAAAATTATCGTCAAAATGAAACCTCAGGTGTTATTCAGGAGGATGGAAACAGAATTTGGCTATTTTGAAACGTTTCGGACCAATGAAGACAGGTCAGAGGATGCTGGATATCGGTGTCGGGATAGGAGGAGGAGCTAGACAGGCAGCCAGTGTGAGTATTATGCCCAAGATAGAGAAAAGATTTATTCAAACGGCTTGAGCTTCCTGTCTTGAATTCTTGCTTTTCCATAGTGGCACCAGTTCAGGAGTTCGGTCTACAAGTGCTAGGAGTAGACCTTTCCACGAACATGCTTGCCGTCGCCCTGGAACGTGTCCACAAGGAGAAAGACGCCCGTGTCACGTAGGTCCCTACTTTATCGAGATTTGAAAATCTAAAAATCTTTGAGCAAGATATTTCAGCTACGCAGTATGTGATGCATGCGAGTACGAGTTTGAGCCAAACTCGTTCGATTATGTCTTTTCACGGGATTGCATTCAACATATTAAAGACACGGACAAACTCTTCTCCAGAATTTACGTACGTCGATATTCATGTCTCACCCAAGCTCTTAAAACCTACATGATTGTGAAAAGGATGGGATAGGCAGCGTTTTTGTTTACCATTAGGATTGCGCCATGGATTGGAGAACAGCTCAAAATTATTTTCAAGTTACAACGTCATGACCATCCAGCAGTAGACTGCCACCATTTTTCATCGTTCTTCTACATAACTATTGAAGATGAGCGAAC